ATGACACGGTGGTAATGACACTGTGATACTGATACTGTGATACTGACACTGTGATACTGATACTGTGATACTGACACTGTGATACTGATACTGTGATACTGACACTGTGATACTGACACTGTGATACTGACACTGTGATACTGACACTGTGATACTGACACTGTGGTAATGATACTGTGGTAATGACACTATGGTAATGACACTGTGATACTGATACTGTGATACTGACACTGTGATAATGACACTGTGATACTGACACTGTGATACTGACACTGTGATACTGACACTGTGATACTGACACTGTGATAATGACGCTGTGATAATGACACTGTGGTAATGACACTGTGATACTGATACTGTGATACTGACACTGTGGTAATGACACTGTGATACTGATACAGTGATACTGACACTGTGGTAATGACACTGTGTTACTGACACTGTGATACTGACACTGTGATACTGATACAGTGATACTGACACTGTGATACTGACACTGTGGTAATGACACTGTGATACTGACACTGTGGTAATGACACTGTGATACTGACACTGTGGTAATGACACTGTGATACTGACACTGTGATACTGATACTGTGATACCGATACGGTGATACTGACACTGTGATACTGATACTGTGATACTGACACTGCGATACTGACACTGTGATACTGACACTGTGATACTGACACCGTGATACTGATACTGTGATACTGACACTGTGATACTGACACTGTGATACTGACACTGTGATACTGACACTGTGGTAATGACACTGTGATGATGCTGTGACACTGTGATACTGACACTGTGATAACTGACACTGTGATACTGACACCGTGATAATGACACTGTGATAATGACACTGTGGTGATGACACTGTGATAATGACACTGTGATACTGACACTGTGGTACTGACACTGTGATACTGACACTGTGGTAATGACACTGTGATACTGACACTGTGATACTGACACTGTGGTAATGACACTGTGGTAATGACACTGTGGTAATGACACTGTGATACTGACACTGTGGTAATGACACTGTGATACTGACACTGTGATACTGACACTGTGGTAATGACACTGTGATACTGACACCGTGATACTGATACTGTGATACTGACACTGTGATACTGACACTGTGATACTGACACTGTGATACTGACACTGTGATACTGATACAGTGATACTGATACTGTGATACTGACACTGTGATACTGACACTGTGATACTGACACTGTGATACTGACACTGTGGTAATGACACTGTGATACTGATACTGTGATACTGACACTGTGGTAATGACACTGTGATACTGACACTGTGATACTGACACTGTTATACTGATACAGTGATACTGACACGGTGATACTGACACTTTGGTAATGACACTGTGATACTGACACTGTGGTAATGACACTGTGATACTGACACTGTGGTAATGACACTGTGATACTGACACTGTGATACTGATACTGTGATACCGATACTGTGATACTGACACTGTGATACTGATACTGTGATACTGACACTGTGATACTGACACTGTGATACTGACACCGTGATACTGATACTGTGATACTGACACTGTGATACTGACACTGTGATACTGACACTGTGGTAATGACACTGTGATACTGACACTGTGATACTGACACTGTGGTAATGACACTGTGATACTGACACTGTGGTAATGACACTGTGGTACTGACACTGTGATACTGATACTGTGATACTGACACTGTGATACTGACACTGTGATAATGACACTGTGATACTGACACTGTGGTAATGACACTGTGATACTGACACTGTGATACTGACACTGTGGTAATGACACTGTGATACTGACACCGTGATACTGACACTGTGATACTGACACTGTGATACTGACACTGTGATACTGACACTGTGATACTGACACTGTGATACTGATATACGTGATACTGACACTGTGATACTGACACTGTGATACTGACACTGTGATACTGACACTGTGATACTGACACTGTGATACTGACACTGTGATACTGACACTGTGATACTGACACTGTGATACTGACACTGTGATACTGACACTGTGATACTGACACTGTGATACTGACACTGTGATACTGACACTGTGATACTGACACTGTGGTAATGACACTGTGATACTGACACTGTGGTAATGACACTGTGATACTGATACTGTGATACTGACACTGTGATACTGATACTGTGATACTGACACTGTGATAATGACACTGTGATACTGACACTGTGATACTGACACTGTGATACTGACACCGTGATACTGATACTGTGATACTGACACTGTGATACTGACACTGTGATACTGACACTGTGATACTGATACTGTGATACTGACACTGTGATACTGACACTGTGATACTGACACTGTGATACTGACACTGTGATACTGACACTGTGATACTGACACTGTGGTAATGACACTGTGATACTGACACTGTGGATAATGATACTGTGATACTGACACTGTGATAATGACACTGTGATACTGACACTGTGATACTGATACTGTGATACTGACACTGTGATACTGACACTGTGATACTGACACTGTGATACTGACACTGTGATACTGACACTGTGATACTGACACTGTGAAATGCTACAACGTAGTCAGGATTGCGGATGTCAGTGTCAGATTTCATTCTCTTACGTGCTTGTAAAATCCTGAAATAGAATCTAAATCTAAATATTAGCATGTGGTTGTATGTGTATACATGCGCCTATTCAACAAGCCTATTACACGTATCCGTTCCTAACGTGACAAACGTCGGATATAAAAATACGTTTAGCTGAATTAAAAACAACTGAATTCAGAACGCCTTTAAAACAGGTTATATTACTGAAATACCACTGCCACGTTTCACTGTGCGTTTCGAATTTTACCCCATCCACGTTCACGTCATGGAAATAATGCACCACATTGGCGTGTTTAAACGAAATTAAGAATGGATTAATCCATACAACTTGGTCCCAATTAATATAACTCCCAAATGGAATACTACCTACGTTTTAAAGTAGATATTAGGAACAGATATATAGTAGGGGAAGAAATTAGGTGTATATATCAAGGGGTAGATGTTATGTGCAGATATTAGTTGTCGATATCAGGGTTAGATATTAGGGGCAAGTAACAATGCTAGATATTGGGGGTAGATATCATGGGTAGATCTCAGAGGCAGATTTCAGGGGTAGATATTAGGGGCAGGTATTAGTGGTAGATATCAGGGATATATATTTCGTGGAAACCAATCACTCCCGACATCCTTGTCAACTGGAAAACGTCATCCGGGCACCCATCTTTACAGTTATAAGATGCAAGTATAATGTGTTACTGAAACATTACGGCAAACACATTATAAATATAATACACAATGCATTATAGGTGACATTATTACATAAACAATGTACTTTCATATCCTGGTGGAAATGTGTACAAATGGCTGACGTCATATATCTCTGTGTACTTGTACGGTGTTATCAGGTTTATCTATTATAAATGACAAGTCGACGTCTCTGGCGTCGGATGACGATGTAGTTGTGGCTGTACGTCAATACACATGGCGTCTTCGTTTAGGAATGCCCCTGTTCAGTTTATCGTGTTAACCTATAGGGTGAAACGGATGGGGCTTATCGGGTCCCAGTCTGACCTATTTTAACCACGGCGGACATTAGGAAGAACAACAGTCGTTGTTTTGATAACAGCATTAACACAACATTCAGGAAGATTATATGCTGAACCCCGTGGTGCTTATACCTAGATATTTGGGTTTTAAAATACATTTCCCGGAGGATTTCACTGAACCCACAGAACTGTACGTGCCTTATAAGTATATTAATGGGCCTATCACATGACACACCTTGATTAAGGGAAAACAGGAATATAGCAAACCACACGTGTGTTCAATATATTGATGGAATAAAGTATTAATCTAAATCACACATATCCCAGTTGAAACAGGGTTCAACCATCGTAATGACGTCACTCTGTTATTCTTGCTGTTGATTTTAAGCCAGGAGCTCACGGTCCGAACTGGACGAGCATGTTTAAACAACAGGTCATTTGGAAGAAAATCTTGTCAGTTTGTGTCAGTATCAGTCAGCCATAACATTCAACTGTCGGAAACAACAGATTCAAGTAACTTCCTACTGGGGCTTGTTGATTCTGCTACCGGAAACAACTGTTCCAGATTCAAGTAATTTTCTATCAGGGCTCGTTGATTCTGCTACCGGAAACAACAGATTCAAGTAATTTCCTATCAGGGCTCGTGGATTCTGCAGATTCTAGTTATTTCCTACTAGAACACTCGAACGTTCTAGTCACCACGTGAAGAAAGTACATCAAAGGTTAGAAACCTATTCTTACCCCACATTCCAGAGTGAGCCTGATAATGTCCCACAAACAACTGTTTATAATACATTAAGATTCTCAGGTACAAAGAAGCGTAGAAATCCGTTAACTCCACCTTGATACGCACATCACCCTACATTATATCCATCGGAGACGTTTAGCTTGGCATGCATGCATGCTACTTGTCTTTCGAGAACACAACATGCAATTAACCCTTTATTCGGGATGAATAAAAACGTTTTGAGTACACAACGATTAAAAACTTCTTAAGTTCACAATATGAAATTAACACTACATTGGGTCAGGCTAGAACGACGGACATCTAGGGTACACGACATGCATTACCTTGACGGTAGGGAAGGAAAAAAACAGGACATCTAGGATAAATTTACAAACAGTAATAAATGAAATATTAAAGATGACAGTTTGGTGCAACATAGGTATTGGAAACTCGTCAGATGATACAAAATGCACAACGGCTATAGCGACATCATTGCGTAGATAGGGAGATAAGATTATCCAAACAGGATGCAGATACGTGGTTGAGGTGCAGCAAGGTGTTACCTGTATATAAGTAGCACGCTCATTACCACAGACAGAGACAGAGATACCCGTGTTCTGAACATGGCCACCTCTAGCTGCATCCTGGTGCTCACGTTAGCACTTGGCTTTTTAACAGTAACAGAAAGCAAAGGTAATTCTGCTTTGATACTTAGATATATTTTATTCGAAATCTTTTCATTATAAATGTATTTACAGTAATTTATGTTTATAGCGGATTGAATGGTATACTACTTAATCTTTGATAGGGATAAATCTATATATTGTATATATGTGATTTCTCATAATGACAATTGTATATTTACAAATATTGTATACAATTATTCATGTGTGGGTGGTAGTGCATTCTTTCTGAGAATAAAAGCTTTGTGAATATATATGGATAAACTTTCTATATGTGTTTTACCGGAATTATTCATCAATGATATAGTTTTAGTATGTACGTAACAATATTTCTTCGCATATCTATTTCTTTTATATACAAACGATAAGTCCAGATATTTCTTCCTGTCAAAACTCCTTTATGTGCAGATAAAGGAGTTTTGACAAGAAGAAATATCTGGACTCGTCTTTTATATATTTATTGCTTATACACCTGCAGAAATCACTTGTTTATGTATATAGCTTAATAGTATACTAGCTTAAATTCCGTCATAGCCTTATTTGGTATGGTTGGGAGGTATGCGCGTTATCTTAGGACTGTAAACTTGAGGTTTAATAGAGTAATATTCAAGATGATAGTAGTGTTAATTCATGTTTCTGAAAGAGTTGGAGGTATCACGATGATTGTACGTTTACTTATTGCGGCCAACTTGGTGTTTATCTTTGACTTTGTTTTAGATCGTGACGGGTACTTGAATGTCGACTTACAAATATACAGTTAACAATACATGGGATGTCATGGTGGTTTAAACGGAAGATTGTGCACTTTGTATTTCAGAATATACATATTTCTTTTAAAACACGTATTTTTTCCATTTAAACAATTAGTTAAATTTTTACACATTGGGTATTTTAACATAATGGTTTAATATATATGTTTTCTGATAATGTTTGAAGAATCGGCGGAGAAAAACATAATGGAATTCATCGCCAACATCACACATGTGGCAGAAGTTATTTATACACATTCTTTCTCCTTGTGGAATTGTGTGCCACCTACCCACTTCTATAGGTAAACGATGGCATGGAAGTTCCAAATAAGAGTAATTTAAAAGCCAAGAAGAAAGGGATATATGTCAAATATTTTGCAAAGACAAGTGAGGTACCTTTAGAAGAATTCGAAATCTCTGCAAGCCATGTTTGAGTTGCTATATCACGTAACCGTAGGGAGAAAACAGATTTGTGATACCGCGTGGCTAATTATCAATCATGAGCTGTTTCCATGTTCATGGCCAGGAATCCATGAGTAGAACTAAGCAAACTATCATTCTGAAAGGCTGAATGCTCTGTTTGTACAGTGTTGAAGACGTCAACTACACCGGCTCCGAGGGATTCGCCGTGCGTCAAGGGGTTTTCAGCGTCAAAGTACACAGCCACAATTTCTGAAAATGTAAGTCATCTTTACTACCCTATTTGTCGAGGAAATAGTCCTTGTATCAGTATGTCTTGCAGCTACGTGTTGCGTCATCTAGACGTACCAGGGTCCGTTGGTGAATACCAGGATCGTTCCGGTTACGATCCTTGGTGTGTCAGCAGCATAAACGTGTTCATGGGTTTTACCAAAGTGACAGATATAAGATATGCGTCACTTCACGATTCCGTAAAACATGAATCCTCAATGATAGAAGTTAAACTGTTTAAACAGGTGTTCATTCAGATCCTTAAACAAATTAAAATATCCCAAGCAAGTCTGTAATCCTATACATGTGCAGCTTTCAAACGAAGATGACATTATTTGGTTTCAGATATATTTGTTTTTCTATAAAAGACAATTGCAAAATGATGAACTTCTTTCTTAGAGTAAATGTCTGTCTACGTAAATCCAAATCCCCCTTATCCCACCTTTTGGCTTTATTCCCCACAATCAACTTGGTTGTAAAGTAAAATCCTGTTGGAAACTGCAGGAACGATTTGTCCCTCTATGGCGTTCTTCCCCTCGACGTAAGAGGCGACTAACGGGATCGGGTGGTCAAGCTCGCTGACTTGGTTGACACATGTCATCGGTTCCCAATTGTGCAGATCGATGCTCATGCTGTTGATCACTGGATTGTTTGGTCCAGACTCCATTATTTACAGACCGCCGCCATATAGCTGGAATATTGCTGAGTTCGGCGTAAAACTAAACTCACTCACTCACTCTTCCCCTTGAATATTCGCCCTCTTTGGGAAACGCTAAAAGACAGAGCGTGGCAAAAAGCAAAACAGTGGAAACACTTCTTCCTTATTCCAAACGGTAGTTTGAACTTTGAATTTCCTTTAAGTTTCACGTAGAATCACTGCTTAGGGACATTTTCACACTTTTTTGCACTTACATTTACAAATGTATAAAGAAAAGACCATATTGATGTGAGCTTGTATCTACATACATATATTTGCTTATGAGGTACGAAGTGTAAGAAGTGCGCAAATATACACATATTTATTTCCATATTTGTTTCAGGGCTGATTTTGGTCGAATTACGAGAGATGTCATGTTTCCCTGCCAATTGTTATGCATGTCGCTACAGTTTATATAGGCGGAACGCACACTGATTATGCTTAGACATGTATATATACACGGATTGATCAGGTGTTTACGTGCCATGCAATTTAGCACCATATAAACGAAACTTTAGGCTGAGAGGTAGGGTCTGTACTCTCCCAAAAAAGAAACGCATAGGTGAATAGGTGATATTGATATATGAAATCTAAATTCAAATATCTTCCAAAAGTAGAGTTTGTTATACTTCCGCCATTAAAATGCTGGTTTGCGTACATGGAACGAATGGACAGCGCAAAAACGCATTTTCGGAAACTTTAATGCACGTTTGTGTTCGAAAGTGTCGGGTGGTGGGTCAGCCTAGTGGTTAAAGCGTTCGCTCGTCATGCCGAAGACCCAGGTTCGATTCCCCGCATGGGTACAATGTGTGAAGCCCATTTCTGGTGTCCCCGCCGTGATATTGCTTGAATATTACTAAAAGCGGCGTAAAACCATACTCACTCACTCACTCACTCACTCGAAAGTGTCAACTTTAAAATGTCATGGAGAAAACGTTCTGAGGAATCGTGAGCAGGGACATTGCCTATTTTGCAGTTGGATGGTCATTGGCTTTGTTTTAGCTAAATGAAAGAACACCATTATCCCGTGACTCACTGCTGTAAATCGAAACATTGCCATTGGACGTCTGGATGCTGGGGAGTCCCCTCGATGTTCACCAGAGTACCATCGGTCGTTTATTGGACCGATATCAACAAACTAATTCTCGGCCTCGAAGTGGTTGACCTCGGAATACCACTGCATCGCAGGATAGGTAGATCCGGGTACTTCATTTGCGATATCGAACTGTCACAGCAATAACAACTGCAGTGCCTGGTTTGAGAGGAATTGTCGCCGCAAACCATTCACAATCGTATCAGAAGGATCCACATGGTTCCAATCATTGACTACCAAAGGGAGCTGTTCCAGCAAGATACTGCCAGCCTCAGACAGCACGTGCAACTATTCAGTATTTTCAGAATGAGAACATTACAGTGTTTACATGGCCCAAATGGGGCATTTCTGGGATGACCTCGTCCGACGCGCACGTGAACGCCAACCGGCGCCCCACACGTTGGATCAACGGCAGGCATTGCAAGGGGAATTGGCCAGAATTCCACACAATCGAATTCAAAGTCCAAGCCGAGACGATGTAGGACAGGTTTTTGGGCTCATGGTAGCCACAACAGATATTGAAGACAACGAACAGGTGGGAAGAGACGCCTTCACTTATAGAACCTATATAAGCTATACATGTTAAGAGACATTTGATCTTTTATACTGTGAAATTTGGTTGCAACTGGTCTAGAATCATATGTGTTATTTCACTTTAAAGTTAGCAGATTAAATTCGTGAAAATACAGCTATGCGTTTCGTTTTCGGGAGAGTATATTACCGCTTTGAGAAAATAGTATAATTTGCTTTAAACAGTATACGTATTTGTGTTTTATGATGGTGTGTCAACATTCTGTGAGAGGATCCTTTCGTCAAGAGATGCAGTCTTTATCGTACACCACACTGTGGAAACCGACGAGCATTGCCGACATACCAGGAAACAGACTAGGGGACGCAACTCTTGCGGCGATCTGAATCTCAGATCAAAATACGCATTTACTACTGATCACATATCACGCGATTTGTCGGGTAAAATGAGAGAGAAAATGATCACAGAAATCAACTCCTTTCATCAGTTACTATTTAATCTAAACATACAAAGGACTACTCTGACAATATTCCAACTCAGTTTTCTTCTTTTTTTCTGTGTCCTCTGCTACTGGCATGAATAACTTATCCATATCCTCCACTAGAACCTCCTGGTTACCATAGCCTATTTACAACCGATTCTGTCATAATCCCCTGCAGGCCTGGATATGTCTTTTCTGCTAACCTGTCTGAACCGCAAAACACTCGGAAGAGGTAAAGGGCACTAAATACTTTGATGAATCAAATGTACAGTGATTGCATCATGCAGATAACATCTCTCGGAATGTTGTTACTTTTCCAGGTCAACTACCAATTAACCCCTGTACCAGTTTCTCCTGAAATTAGAGCCTGCCGTACTGACACCAAGGTGGTCTACGACATTGGTACGTATAAACCAGCTGCTCTACCTACACCAAGCAGCAACAACGCGGCTTGTATGGCAGCTACATCATTCCAGCTGATATTCTTCCCATAGTGCCCAATGCTACTGTTTGATAAACACCATACGCCCCTGACGTCCACAAATGTATTGACAACATACTTTCACTACCGTACTCGTATGAATTGTTTCTCATGTTTTGGCTAAGAATATTGGCAAACCACACTTGTCGTAAGAGGCGTATAAATGGATCGGCTGATTTCATAGTCATCGAACTCCATGAAGATCCGGGTTAGAATTGTTCTTCAGCAACCCATGCTTGCCCAAAGAAGCGACAGACAGGATCAGGCGGTCAGGTTCGATGTCGTGGTTGATGCTTTTCATCGTACTGAGTTGCATAGATCAATGTTCATGATGTCTGCTACTGAATCGTCTGGTCGACAATTGATACTTCACAGACCGCCTTTATCAAGCTGTAATATATTTAAGTGCGACTTTAAAGAACAAACACTATGTCTTACTGAGGGCAAAATCGGCTCTAACCGAAGCGATCGTACAATCTCCAAACTTGATATCAGTGTTACCACTCCCGCCAGCAAGTCCCCAGCATATCCTGTGTGCTGTGCAAGACGTGACGTGATGAAGGGAGACTGAGAACAATATTATGACACAGTGTTTTTCGTAATGTTTTTAATTGGATCAGTGTGTGATATATGCTTGATGTGTAATTGTGAGTTGGTGTGTTTGATGACGCCGCCCCGAGAGTGTTGTCATGCTGTCGTTATTGACCACTTGCTTCCTAGCCTTACTATCAACTGTATCCTGTAGCTGGAAATAAACTGAGTGCTCGGTGCTCATGCTGTTGATCCCTGGATTGTCTGGTCCAGACTCGCTTATTTACAGACCGCAAAACCATATAGCTGGGATATTGCTGAATGCGGCCTAAAACTAAACCCACTCACTCCTACCAACTGTCATCATTATAAATATGGTTCAAGATGAGGTCCAGTTGTACTGATACCTTGTGCTGTATAGTGTGACTTGCTGCACAGATTGACGACTGGTCTGCTCTCTCTGTATTCCCTTACAAGTTTGGTCAAATCCATCTGTACGCATATTCGTGTAACATTTCCTTGTAAATACGTGATATTGATAGTACTTGATATCAGTTTTCGACAAGACTGTCTTCGGGTGGGTTACCGCGATAATTGTAGTTTAGATTTGTGACGGCCTTTCAATACTGGCGGTTATATGATGTAACTGTAGATACATGAGAGCAAATTTGAGTCGGTTATATTCTTTTTGGAAAAGACAATGAGACGATTGCTCTAGAATCGGTTAAATCGGTGTTAGGTTAGATTGTGCAGAACATTGCACCTTTCAGTTAAAACATTGCTGGTTTAAACAAATGAGAGCATGTCATCAGCATAGATTCAGTAGCTGTGACTTTATATGCATGGAGAAAGATACGTGAATCGGTCATGTGTAAGGGCAGTCTGACGTAGGGGTGCAGTGTTGTAATGCCGGTTGTATCCACCATGTATGTTATAAATATGTTCTGTTATTCCACTAGGGAGTCTGACGTAGGAGTGCAGTGTTGTAATGCCGGTTGTATCCACCATGTATGTTATAAATATTTTCTGTTATTCCACTAAGGAGTCTGACGTAGGGGTGCAGTGTTGTAATACCGGTTGTATCCACCATGTATGTTATAAATATGTTCTGTTATTCCACTAGGGAGTCTGACGTAGGGGTGCAGTGTTGTAATGCCGGTTGTATCCACCAAGTATGTTATAAATATGTTCTGTTATTCCACTAGGGAGTCTGACGTGGGGGTGCAGTGTTGTAATACCGGTTGTATCCACCATGTATGTTATAAATATGTTCTGTTATTCCACTAGGGAGTCTGACGTAGGGGTGCAGTGTTGTAATACCGGTTGTATCCACCATGTATGTTATAAATATGTTCTGTTATTCCCCTGGGGAGTCTGACGTAGGGGTGCAGTGTTGTAATACCGGTTGTATCCACCATGTATGTTATAAATATGTTCTGTTATTCCCATGGGGAATCTGACGTAGGGTTGCATTGTTGTAATACCGGTTGTATCCACCACGTATGTTTGAATATGTTCTGTTATTCCTCTAGGGAGTCTGACGTAGGGGTGCAGTGTTGTAATGCCGGTTGTATCCACCAAGTATGTTATGAATATGTTCTGTTATTCCCATGGGGAGTCTGACGTAGGGGTGCAGTGTTGTAATACCGGTTGTATCCATAACGTATGTTATGAATATGTTCTGTTATTCCCCTGGGGAGTCTGGCGTAGGAGTGTAGTGTTGTAATACCGGTTGTATCCACCACGTATGTTATGAATATGTTCTGTTGCTCCTCTAGGGAGTCTGACGTAGGGGTGCAGTGTTGTAATACCGGTTGTCTCCACCACGTATGTTATAAATATGTTCTGTTATTTCCCTGAGGAGTCTGACGTAGGGGTGCAGTGTTGTAATGCCGGTTGTATCCACCACGTATGTTATGAATATGTTCTGTTATTCCCCTGGGGAGTCTGACGTAGGGGTGCAGTGTTGTAATACCGGTTGTATCCACCACGTATGTTTGAATATGTTCTGTTATTCCCGGTGGGGGCGTAGGGGTGCAGTGTTGTTATGCCGGTTGTATCCACCACGTATGTTATAAATATGTTCTGTTATTCCCATGGGGAGTCTGACGTAGGGGTGCAGTGTTGTAATGCCGGTTGTATCCACCACGTATGTAATGAATATGTTCTGTTATTTCCCTGGGGAGTCTTACGTAGGGGTGCAGTGTTGTAATGCCGGTTGTATCCACCACGTATGTTATGAATATGTTCTGTTATTCCCCTGAGTAATCCATTGGTGTTGTATACATTTCCTTGCAGATCCTGCAACGTCATCGGACGTGTTCTTCATTGACAACAGAACGGGTTCTATCTACATGACCCATCCCTTGGACTACGAGAGTACATCAAGTCACCGTATAGATCTTCTAATACAGGTAAACTGCTGTTCTACCATCACAGAATGATTGCTTGCTTCTGTTGGGTTAATATGAAAGAATCACATTTCAATTAGGCCTTTTCACATAGAAATGAATACGTCGAAAGACTACATTACATATCCATTACAAAATGGCAGCCAATAACCAATCAGAACAGAAGTCGGAACATTACTGGATGTGTTTGGTGACAATTGTGACGTCCTATACCTTGAACCTGACTGGTTTGAAGACACGATGACAACACGGAACGATAGGCATATTGTTTGTATACTTTGCACATATATCAATGTAAGACAATTAGGGGCACGTTAGGTATTTTTTCAGTGAAGCAAATGAGAATAAACGCAAAAACCCAAACAACGTTATTCAAGACAAGATATATGTCACGGATATTCAAAGCAATCTCCGTCAACCATCATTTGATCGTCCCCACAACGAACTGCAGATTCGAGAACCAGGTTATGCGAACAATGTCTTTCTTGTGATGCTTCCCAAAATAGAAAAAAACAACCTAAAACAAAACAAAAACAAACAAAAGGAAACAAACTGGGCACAGCCGATCCTATTTTTGAAGAACCATAGATATTGATTCAGTAGTAGATGGAGATAACCTTCAGAGAAAGGTTTGGTTTGATCTAATGTTAGCATTTCGCAGACGGTATGTTAAAAGTTAACGAAGAAAAGATCGCTGTCTTCAAAAGACGACGGAAACTTACCCTGGTACGCTGCAGATGCTATATGAGCTTCCAAACCTGCCCCGCACTGAAAAGAGCAAGGGAGCTCATTGGCTAAAAATACAATATGTCCCATCAAATCGCTGACTCTTTTCAGTGCGGGGCAGGTTAAGGCCAAGGTCGTCAAGGGCGAACGGACACGACACAATTCTGTTTGCGATGAATAAATGCACGTAAACTCATTATGACAGTAAGATGTAAGTGCCTCCGAAAGAATGGCGACTAGCGCGCTGATAGGCGCCACCAGTTCAACATGTTTTGGTGAATGTCGTATGTGTATACTGTGAAATAAACAAGAAAATGGGTGAGTTACCGCTACAAATTCTGGATTTTGGCTTGGAATCGAGAAATCAGGGATTTCTCGAGCTTCCGAAGACCCTAGCTCCCAAAGTACTGCTTCGATTTTTGTGCTGTATGTCTCATTTTGTAGGTAAATCTATTGGCTTGAAATGTGTGCATACTTTAAATGGGATAAATACAGTGAGCATTGTTGAATTCGCCCTGAAACGAACTTGGTGTGTTCACCTCGTTACATCCCTTTCCTTTTATATAGTACTAAGACCCCGTCAGTGACAGTATATGCCTTGATGGCAGTGTTTAGCGTTACAAGCCCCTGTGGTTACACGCACCTTCTCTACAAGCAGTCTACGCACACAATCTTCACGGAATGACTCTACACGCAATTATCTATCTTGCCTACATTCTCAGCCTCAGTAGTATGTTATGTTCCTGCAATTCCTTCAGGAGACCCACGCTACTGGAAACGACGATGGGAATGCTCTTCTCATCATCGACGTCTTGGACGTGAACGACAACAAACCCGTGATGACGCAACCCGTCTACACCGTCCACATCTCGGAGAGCAGCGTCATAGGGCTTCGTCTACTCACGGTATCAGCAACAGATGCTGACTCGGTAGGTGCGCGCGCGCGTGCGTGCGTGAGAGCGAGCTAGCGATTAAGTGAGTGAGTGAGTGAGTGTGTGTGAGTGCGAGTGTGTGTGAGGTTGAGAGGTGGGGACGGATGAGGTTCGTGGTGGGTGAGTGTGAGGGACTGTTTAAGGGCACTCAATACACCCGAACGACGTTGAGTATTTCATTCAGTCACATTCCCCCAAACAAGCAATGGTGGTGCAAGTGTATTTAACGATATATTTCGAAACATTATAACAAGACAGTATATATGTTGTTTCAGGCTGTTGCATCCATGGAATTGACACACATTTTGTTAAACATACACCTTGAATCTTTGCTGATGTTAATAATCTATACACTGTTATCACACAAAGAGCATGTTGAGTGCCTAAAAGCAATAGAGCAGGACCGTATTTTGAAGCCAGTATTGGTTCGTCTGCAAGCTATGTGTAGAACTTTGCCAAGACAGGCAGAAAGTGTATGAAGTTTTCAACAGATGTATATAATCATGTTGCAGAAGGTCTCAAACCCGTATCAGATACAAAATGATCCACAGAATAGATATCTCAATATTATACAAACACACATGGAAGTTAACATGACAGCCAATTCAAGACTGTTATTTTTGTGCACATTGTATAAAACAAGAATTGCATGTTCAACTTGTGATACATAGCATTCATTTTATCTCTCAAGGTACATTATTATTATATGCCAGTTAGATACATTTGCTGACAGTGTACACAACTGTATCTGTGCAAGATTATGTTTTTTCTTCCAGGGAAACAACGCTGTTGTAAAGTATATACTTGACACACCCTCCTGTCCGATTAGGCTGGACACTATCACGGGGGAAGTCGATCTGATCCAGGAAGTTGACTATGAGCTGGTGCACCAATACAATTGTGTGGTTAGTGTGAGACAGCAGATTATCAGCAACACAAATGCAATTGTCTGGTGACTGTCAGATATAGCAAACTATCAACAACACCAATACAATTGTCTGCTGCTTGTCAGATACAGCAAACTACCAACAACACCAATACAATTGTCTGCTGATTGTCAGATACAGCAAACTATCAACAACACCAATACAATTATCAACAACACCAATACAATTGTCTGCTGATTGTCAGATACAGCAAACTATCAACAACACCAATACAATTGTCTGCTGATTGTCAGATACAGCAAACTATCAACAACACCAATACAGTTGTCTGCTGATTGTCAGATACAGCAAACTATCAACAACACCAATACAATTGTCTGCTGATTGTCAGATACAGCAAACTATCAACAACACCAATACAATTGTCTGCTGATTGTCAGATACAGCAAACTATCAACAACACCAACACAATTGTCTGCTGATTGTCAGATACAATAGGTGAAAACAGCAACATCTTGCAATATGGAATTTCTCGATCTTAACTTGATATATGAAAGCCTCATCTGTTGTCCATTAAATGATGGTTCTACCGGGAATCGTTACAGTTAGGTGAGCAACAACTCGTCAGACAAGTATCCACTTTGTCATATTGTCTGAAGCTTATTCCGGAAGTCATCTTGCCGTAATATGTTTTGACTTTATGCTCAAGGCAACATAAAATGTTTACACGCTCAATACTGATATAATAGAATACTTTTAAATAACATTGTATGCAACGCACCTCTGTTTTGTTCGAGACCACGTGCATAGTCAGGTGAACAAATAAACGGAGAATGCTAACATCTGTTTTGTATGAATACTTGTTACGCCACAGGTACACGCTCAGGAAACGCTTACCAGGGAACGTTTTTCAAGTAAACAATCGACAATAGTTATCAAACTTCATGATGTCAACGACAACAGCCCCAGCTTCACCTCGGACATGTACGACTTCGTCATGACATGGCCTCCCACAAATGGCATATATGTTGGAAAGGTAGGTGTCATGCACCTGAACTCAGCATCAAGTAAACGGCAGTGTAAGATCTTTTTGGAAGAAAAGTCTCAAAAGGCATAGAAAAGCTTGATAGTTTAATATATGCATAATAAAAAGCCTTGATGAATCGCTTATTAACCTGAAAGTTTAGTCTTAATTTATACAACGTTTTGAATTTACATTATTGCACTTAAATACCATTATATGCATTACAACCAGTTTATTCAAGTGTGCGATGGTTATGTGATAGAGTATGTGAAATTAACTTTAATTTAACCACCATCGAGAAGACGTTTAACTTCAGATGTATCGATGATGGAATATCATTCAGTAATCATCAATTAAACAATTTCCTCCCACTGATTTACCCACCTGAACTTGAAATATAGGAAGCAAGCGAGACCGCCTCGTGTGTTTCATATTTAGACATATGCATGAAGACAGAAACCTCTCAACAAGGCTGTATGACAAAAGGGATGATTCAGCTTTCCAATAGTCAACGTTCCCTTCAGGTCGAGCAATATTCCAAAAACATCTCACAACGTTTGAGGTACAATCGAGCATGCCCTTTTACCAATATTGTTAACGTCGTCATGCGACTCTGTCTCGGAAGTTGTTCGAGCACGGTTATAACATTCAAGGCCTCTGTAAAGCTTTCAAAATATTTAAGCTGAAGTCGAAGAAGACATCAGGGACAAATATTATATTTCCTATTTTCACTTGTATTAATAGTGAAAATAGTATCTTCATTAATATTGATTTATGATCACATGCTCTGTCAACGTTCCTGATTGTGTTAATCACCAGATTGTTTGGTCCAGGCTCGATTATTTACAGGCCGCCATCTATATTAAATACTGTACAATTGAACATCGATAACGTTTTTCATAGGTCACCGCCCACGACAAAGATTCTGGTGAATTTGGAAGGGTTAACTACACCATAGAAAACCCCGTTGACTCTTTCCTCTCTATTGACCAAGATGGAGCGATCCGCGTCAAGGACGCTTCCGTGGATGTTCTGCAGAAAAACAGAAACTACACCTTCCTTGTGATGGCCAGAGACCGTAAGCGTGGTTATTGTGTCTGACATCTCCGTATAGCTCACCTGGCGTCACAAGTCACAAATAATGCTGCTAGAGATCTGTTCTTAAAGGCGGAAATGCTCTAAAGTATGGGGGCGGTGGGGTAGCCTAGTGGTTAAAGCGTTCGCTCAACACGCCGAAGACCCATGTTCGATTCCACACATGGGTGCAATGTGTGAAGCCCATTCTGGTGTCCCCCGCCGTGATATTGCTGGAATATTCCTAAAGCGGTGTTAAACCAAACTCACTTACTCTAATGTGGTGGGCGAGCTGTCTAAGGCGCCAGGCTAGTAATCCAGCGAGCTTGGAGGTGCTGGGATCGAGCCTACCTGTGACCGGGTGTAAAAATACTTGGAGTCAACTTTGTGTGCAGATTCTTTCAATGTTGTCATAACCCCTAGTGTACAGTACACAACCCTGTGCACTTTAAAGAACCCACAAATTCGTATATGACCAGATGGTGGCCACATGAATACGTGCAAAGACCTAGTTGCGGGTTCAGCAACGTGCTGTAAACATGGACAAAGTACTCTGACTCTGTGTGCCAGTCCACCCAGCTGTGAATGAGTACCTCGTAAGGATGGGAAAGCCACATTAACTCGGTGCGCCTAGTAGGCAGCAAGAGTTGTATGATCCCCAGGGAGTTGAGATTGAAAATACGATGTCCCGTAGTGATGGACATCCAATGATCGAGGGAAAATAAAGCGCCTTGGAGCAGTTATACTGGATATCGGCGCTATACAAATGTTTGTATGTATGTATGTATGTATGTATGTAATGTATGTATGTATGTATGTATGTAATGTATGTTGCCCATTCTAAGCCTAGGTTCACCCATTCTAATGATCGCCATGTTTGAAACTGAAACACATTCTCTGTTCATGCGCATAATCAACATGGCCCAGAACTTAAAACCCCTTTAAAATAGTCTGGCTAATGTGAAAAACACCAAATGTCAAAGCATATTAACTAGTTTACGTTTTACAAGAGTTGGAAAGTACATAAGATCGATCATCTCAGAAGGGAGCGTCTTGGCCAGAACGAAACGATGATGAACACATAAGCACATTCAATTTGCGATTTTGCATTTGTCTTATGTTGTAGTACACCATATTATGTATCTTTAAATTCGAATGTTTTGCCCTTAAGGTTCCTTTTTTTGGTAGAATTGGAATTAAAAATTATTCCTGTAACCATAGCAGCAAATATGTTTACTGTTTTACTTGCATATAACAAGATATAACAAAGGCTTAAAAGAGGGGAATGTTGCTTTAGCACCCCCGCTTCAAGTTAAGTTATGTGCGTCGGTTATTTGTATTCACAATATAGACATATTTTCATTTTACATGCAGATTCTCCATAGAATATTATGGTTGATAACTTGAACTGCATGAAAGTGCATAGTGGGGACAATATTGAATGATTTCTTCGTTTTTTGAATAAAATAATAAAAAAAGGGTCCCACCATTCTCTCAACTTCTGAAGGAAGTTTTGTGCATGCTGAGTGAGATATGTGTAGATTATTGTCACCAAATGCATATCAAATGCTCCATATATTTAAAGCAGATCAGTTCAAAGGGTACATTGTCATCATGTTCAAAGTTATCACAGGAGGCATAGCCATTGTATCATAATAGGCATATCCATTGTATCATAATAGGCATATCCATTGTATCATAATAGGCATAGCCATTGTATCATAATAGGCATAGCTATCGTATCAGAATAGACATAGCCGTCGTATTATTCGAGGCATATATGGTTTTCGTCTCATAAGTGGTACAATCATCGTAGCATAATAGGTATAGTCACCGTAGTATGATAGGTATAGTCACCGTAGCATAATAGGTATAGTCACCGTAGCATAATAGGTATAGACATCGTAGCATAATAGGTATAGTCATCGTAGTATGATAGGTATAGTCACCGTAGCATAATAGGTATAGTCACCGTAGCATAATAGGTATAGTCATCGTAGCATAATAGGTATAGTCACCGTAGCATAATAGGTATAGTCTTCGTAGCATAATAGGTATAGTCACCGTAGCATAATAGGTATAGTCATCGTAGCATAATAGGTATAGTCATCGTAGCATAATAGGTATAGTCATCGTAGCATAATAGGTATAGTCATCGTAGCATAATAGGTATAGTCACCGTAGCATAATAGGTATAGTCACCGTAGCATAACAGGTATAGTCACCGTAGCATAACAGGTATAGTCATCGTAGCATGATAGGTATAGTCATCGTAGCATAACAGGTATAGACATCGTAGCATAAGAGGTATAGTCATCGTAGCATAAGAGGTATAGTCATCGTAGCATAAGAGGTATAGTCATCGTAGCATAATCGGTATAGTCACCGTAGCATAACAGGTATAGACATTGTAGCATAACAGGTATATCACCGTAGCATAACAGGTATAGTCACCGTAGCATGATAGGTCTAGTCATCGTAGCATAACAGGTATAGTCATTGTAGCATAATCGGTATAGTCACCGTAGCATAATAGGTATAGACATCGTAGCATAAGAGGTATAGTCATCGTAGCATAACAGGTATAGTCATCGTAGCATAACAGGTATAGACATAGAAGCATAATAGGTATAGTCATCGTAGCATAATAGGTATAGCCATCGTAGCATAATAGGTATAGTCATCGTAGCATTATAGGTATAGTCATCGTAGCATAATAGGTATAGTCATCGTAGCATAATAGGTATAGTCACCGTAGCATAATAGGTATAGTCACGGTAGCATAACAGGTATAGTCACCGTAGCATAACAGGTATAGTCACCGTAGCATGATAGGTATAGTCATCGTAGCATAAGAGGTATAGTCATCGTAGCATAACAGGTATAGACATCGTAGCATAGTAGGTATAGTCATCGTAGCATAATAGGTATAGCCACCGTAGCATAATAGGTATAGTCATCGTAGCATAACAGGTATAGTCATCGTTGCATAATAGGTATAGTCATCGTAGCATAACAGGTATAGACATCGTAGCATAACAGGTATAGTCACCGTAGCATAACAGGTATAGTCACCGTAGCATGATAGGTATAGTTATCGTAGCAACACAGGTATAGTCATCGTAGCAAAATAGGTATAGTCACAGTAGCATAATAGGTATAGACATCGTAGCATAACAGGTATAGTCATCGTAGCATAACATGTATAGTCATCGTAGCATAAGAGGTATAGTCATCGTAGCATAATAGGTATAGTCATCGTAGCATAATAGGTATAGTCATCGTAGCATAAGAAACATGCATGGCATGTAATATGACAGTAACATCTATTGGTCCTTGCAAGCAACAACTCGACACTGTTCAAGTATGCTGAAATCATGCGTGTCAAGAATGTTTCCAATATTTGTTCAACATTATAAAGAGAGAAATGTGTTAGAAAATCTGATAATATGTGTCACGAAGCGTGTTCCTGCATGTGTATCTGTATCTTCAGATGGCAAAAACCCACGTATGGGCCAGTCACTGGTGCTCATGAGGATGATCGAAGGCTACAACCGCTGGTTCTTCTACAATTCCTCATACAGATTCCAAATTCCAGAGAATACGCCATCAAACGCGGAAGTTGGGTTGGTAAGTACTCGACACTAATGTTTTCAAGGGTTCGAATCTGGGTCGTGTAAACCAGTTGTTGATGTCATGACCAACAACCTACAACGGTGACACACGATTACCCATCTGACCCTCACTCGTGCCCACTTAAAACGAACATTGGGTACCAGGGATCTCACTAACAGGGATTGTAACGTGCAAGGGGAAATACATGAACGGACACTTCTAATATTTGTATTGTATATTAACACCAATGAATCGTATATGTATTTGACCTACTAACTGAAGATTGCAGAATATATTCGATCTGAAGCATGTGGAGCGGCAGGGTAGCCTGGTGGTTAAAGTGTTTGCTCGTCACGCCGAAGACCCGGATTCGATTCCCCACATGGGTACAATGTGTGAAGCCCAATTCTGGTGTCCCCCGCCGTGATATTGCTGCAATATTGCTAAAAGCGGCGTAAAACCATACTCACTCGCTCACCATTTGAAGCATGTCGGGATATTTTCTTTCCTTGCTATATCGTACCTTCCAAAACTTAATTGCGGTGGAACCCATGTTGTGTTTAAGGTGACTGTGAACTCCAGCCACGTCAAATACAGCTTCCATCAGAAGTACACAGACAAGGACTTTCCCTTCGTCATCACCCAAGATGGCGGCTCCATCAGGCTCAATACGCCGCCGAATTCGCCGGTAGATCATGACGGACTCCATAACTCTTCTTCTTCGAGGTGGCAGCCACAGACGGTATCACGACCTTATACACCAACGTGACTGTCACCATCACAGATATCAATGACAACAGTCCCGTCTTCGTTGTACCTAATAGCGACAATATGATCATCCCCGTAAGTAAATTTAGGGAACCGGAAGCGACCATATACAAAGTATCAGCAACCGATAAGGATTCTGGTGACAATGGAAGAGTAACGTATGTCATACTGAACACCATCGACGCTTCCCGCTTTGGTATTGATAGGATCGATGGAGCCATTACAACACGCCAGAGTCTGTTTAACTTGGAAGGTAATCTGTTTCATATCACTGTGGAAGCAAGAGATAACGGACACCCTCCACTGACGAGTTCTAGACAAATTACGTTCCAAATCCAATCAGAAAGCGTCCTAGAAGAGTTTATCTATAAAACTATTGCAGAGAACGGAGCACCGGAGACGATAGATCTTCTGAAGGGTGCTTTCAGCACATTTCCTAGCTCTGAAGTGACCCTCAGTATCGATTCTGGTAACGGTTATCCAGTTGCAAGAATAAATAATGACAAGCTGATTGTGGACGCACTGGACTATGAACAAATTCAGTACGTGGACCTTACTATCAACGTCACTGGTAGAACGACCAACAGGTTTGTAGGCTTCATCCACGTGGCTATTGCAGTCGAAGACCTTGATGACAACGGACCAAGTTTCATCCCCTCGCCAGTTTCCACTTTCAACATCCCCATCACAGCCAAATCAGGAGCTAAAGTGTACCAGTTCGTGGCCGTTGACAAAGACAGCACAGCTAACGAGAATGGCGTTGTGAGTTACTCTCTCGTCGACTCAGCATCTCCCTTTCTTCTTGACAGCCACACCGGAATGCTTACACTAAAGAGGGATATGACGACGTCGGACAACAATGCTGTTTTCACGGTGCAAGCAAATGCAACAGATGGAGGCGGGCAATTTGCCCTAAGTTCTCCAGTTAATTTTACAGTATACGATCCTGACGAAGGCTTCCCCACGTTCCACGAATCAGCTTATTTTGGGTCCCTTCGTGAGAACTCCCCGATTCGTACGAGTGTGATGCTGATAAACCCAGTGCTGACAGTCTTCCCTGGGGCACACGAGCTCGCCGTGGACATGGTGGGCACGCACAAATCGGACTTCTACGTAACCGCTCCATATGTAAGTATATTCCCATAATGTGCTTTGATAAAATAACACAATCAATATATTGTGATCGTGATCATGTCGAATATAAAATATGCGCTCGTCTTCGGTTTCGGACAAATGTGCAATCCTAGCAATACTGATATTTGGGCCCTGATCCTTAAAGCGATCGTAGCGCTAAGATGAACTCCCATTCTTTAACATGGACTTATGACAGCCGTAGCACTACGATCGCTTTGAGGAACAGGACCCAGAATGTAATAATCTCCCTTTAACAACGTGTGCTATTCTACACAAATTAGACTGATTACAACGACGACGATGATGGTGATCACTGTTTTCCAGGGAGATCTATACACCAATACGCAAGTGGACGCCGAGAAGACCCCGATGTACTTGCTGGCGATAATGTCAACCACGCTCCATACTCCCATCAAGTCAACAACTGTGTTCGTACGTATCAGGGGACGTAACTCTGCGTTATGTGTTTAAATAGGGTTTTTACTGTGTATGTTGGCATTCATGCACTTTTGACAGCACTTCATCCATATCAGCGCGTGTGACCTCGAGGTGCGAGGACAAACATGATTGGGCGACACACTGCAGGTATTGCGTGGACAAATACATGATCTTAGTCAAGGCGAATCTTGAACCTCAAGCCACCGTATCCTTGCGCGCCTAAGGGATGTAACCCTGCATACAGAATTGGGATGTCTGAGGCGACTGGCCTGCATCCACACCGAAAAATGCAACAAAAATGTTAAACATTTATATATTTACGTGAGAAAAGATTCCGAACACTGCCACCTTTAATAAAAACAGTATTGGGGGCGGTCACTTTGAGTGACGTTCATGGAACATTGAATAATCAGGAATAGTTCTTTCTTTCTTGTCTGATTATCAGTCGAGGCGAAGAGAAGAAAGTATATAAAACTGGAACATCCCCCCTCATCCCTGTTTTTCAAGTGCGGTCGTTGCATCAGTGATATAATATAGAAACAAATATGGCGCTTTATGGTTGGCCATTTACCAGAGTCGATTACATGGTGGAAACCATTTTGTACGTGTGAAAAACGTTGATTTATACTGAAAAAACTTTATATTTGTCTTTTTTCATGTAGGTTCGAATAGACCTGGTGGACGTCAACGACAACCCCCCTCACTTCCCCTTCAGAACGAACCATACCACTATTCGCCCCAGCGACGGCCCCAACACCGTCATAGCAACCGTCACCGCTATAGACAAAGACCTCCACCCCCAGGTAGGTAATTCTAATATAGTGGAGTCGCTGGGGGTCGAGATGGAAGTCCTGTGAACAAACTTTATGATATTCATATTTGAGACAAAAGGTGTCTATTCAACGTCATTACTGATGGACCATCTAGGTTAGCTGAGTATCAAACGTAGATATGTCCCAACTTGTGTATGTTGACAATGCAATGAAAGATGCTTGATTGGCATTTTAGAAGATGCTATTTGATGAACATAGAGATTTTTCTGGGTTACATCTTCTTTTTATTAGAATAAAAAGAAAATGGCACTCAGAAAAATCTCTATGTTCAATGCAATGAACAGCTGGACAGTTGTTTATGTCTGTGTCGCACTGACTTTTATGTCGCGTTTATGTAAACGTTTGTTCAAGCTTGTTAACGTTTGTATTATTATCTAGCTGACACTACGCACATGTTGTACCTCTGAAGAAATACGTCTGTTTCCTTAAATGTGATACAAGAGAACATACGTGTCCTTCAAAATCCGATATAGAAAGCATTGCTCAGGTGATCGAGGATAGTGAACATGTCGGCCAACTGTGCACATGGCTGTGTCTACGATAACGGACAAAAGCAGATTCATCCGGACTGCTTTATAATTCGGAAAAATATGTCGGTCCCATACCGGTCCGTAATAGACAGATTCCACTGTATTTGGTTTTAAAGACAAATGCGCGATTCACTACTTGATTGTTACATGCTAGTCCCCAAACGCACTTCCTGCTTAGCGTATGTACACCATAAGAACCATAGTTGTTTTGTGTTAATGAAGTGAAGAATATGAGTGTAGTCTACTGAATAATGATGGCTGTGTTTGTTGTTTCAGCTGACCTACAACGTCACAACGGCTCCTTCCACTAGGTTCATCAGGACCAGACAAACCCATAACACGGTGGATGTAGTCGTTGTTGACCCATCGAAACTTAATGAGAAAACATATCATATTCAGGTAAGCGTTCTCCGTTCTCACACTACCAGAAGCTCTCTTCTGCTGTACAGTGTTACATATTGAAAGCACAACGAAGTGTCATTTCTAACCTAGACTGGCTTGAGCTTCTTTTCCATTGTGTCAGGTTCATGTTACAGTCCCATATAACTGAGCGAGTGAGTATGGTTTGACGCCGCTTTTAGCAATATTGCAGCAATATCACGGCGGGGGACACCAGAAATGGGCTTCACACATTGTACCCATGTGGGGAATCGAACCCGGGTCTCCGACGTGACGAGCGAACGCTCTAACCACTAGGCTACCCCCCCATGTGGGTAAAACCCGGGTCTCCGAAAATAAAATAAACTAGGCTAACACCCCCCACCCCCGAAAATAAATAAAATAAATAAATAATAATAATAATAATAAAAAAATAAAATAACAAAAAAATAAGTAAGTAAGTGAGTTTAGTTTTATGCCGCACTCACCGATATTCCAGCTATATGGCGGCGGTTTGTAAATAATCGGGTCTGGACCAGACAATCCAGTGATCAACAGCATGAGCATCGATCTACACAATTGGGAACCGATGACATGTGTCAACCAAGTCAGCGAGCCTGACCACCCGATCCCGTTAGTCGCCTCTTACGACAAGCATGGGTTACTGAAGGTTCATTCTATCCCGGACCTTCACTGGTTTGGAAAAATATAAGCATCAAAGGGTGCATACAATCTTAAGCTATAGATGGTGATGTTTTTCAGTTGAATAAAATATATACGATTTAGTATCTTCTAAATGAGTGTGATGTTTCTCCTGCAGTGTTAACGTGTATCGTAAACGCTTTACGTAAACTATGTTAGATCTGGGTTATAATAAGTTATCTTTTAAAAGTTATTTTTGAGCTCTATTCATTGATTTCTGCCGTGGAAGCCGTGCCAATTGATACATATCAGAGGGGTAAACAAAGTCCGTGGTCTAGACTACAAGGGTGGCTGAGTAGGTTATATGTGCTGGCGATTAGGTGCCTGACCCAGAGAGTTTTGGTTCGAATCCCAGATGGGACCCAACAACAAGCATACTAGAATCTGCACTTTACTGACAAAGTGTAATTCCAAATGGTTACAACTCTCTGAATGGCAAGTACCGTTGTATTCATAACGCTTCACGTTTTGGTATACAGGGCATTTCTATTTCACCGATGAATTCTAACGACAGCACTGTACAGTGTATAAATAACCAACGAATCAAGACATTGCCTGTTTGGAGGGAACAGAAAACCATGTCGTGACCTGACCAATTGGGGCTGAGATGACATCATACGAACAGCAATCCGCCTCGTGCAATGTCTTCTCTATGTATTGCTTTTTATACGGTAACGATAGGGTTCGCATGCACTTGTAAAGGTTAAACGATAAATCACGGATAAAGGTTTATTTGATTTCTGCGAGTAGTCCGCAGCCTGATATTGCTGGAGGAACTGGGAACATAGTATAAATACATAGCCATGCAGCATTGAGGCTACTCCCTGGAATACTTGGAATACTGGTGAAGACGTTTATTCCCACCTCCTACATCCACGTTTTGCTTTTGCAGATGGTTGTTAATGATGGACTCAACACGGACACGGCAAACCTCGTCCTGACGGTGGAGATGTGACGTCCTCGCGTTGGCGGAGTCTACAACTGAGGCTGACGTTTCTGTTACTGTACATTGTTGAGCACATGTCTATGCCACTGGTAGAGACAGAACTGCTGAACCAATCTCGATATGAAGTGTGATGTTTATCTGTGAAGATTACACAGACCTACATTGTCACAGATAAGTCGTACTGAGAAATATTCCACATAAGCATAGACTATTGCAAAGCAATTGTATACAACTTGTGATGATCACAAACAAATACAGAAATATAATTCCCAAACTACTGAAATGTCTATCGTACGATTACAACATAGGTATAACAAACATATAGATGAATATTTTGCATAGAATAATGAACACTTATGTATATGTATCTGATAGACTGATACAAAATCTATGTACAGTACGTAATGCTATGTGATACACATTGGTTAGGTTGTGAGGCCTATTCACTGACACTGAAAGTGTCGATACCTCAGACGAATAAAGGACGCATATAAATACTCAGGTGTTTTGTCGTCACCGCTTACTACTACTACGACCACCACTACTGCTGCTACAACAACAACAACAGCGCCTGCTCCTACTGCCTTCTACTACAGCTGCTGCAACATACCCAATGCAGAAAACCTTTGTCCCAATCCGCCCTGATTCTGTTCTAGGTATGTCAGTTTATCATTGGTTTCAACCAAAGTGGTAAACATATAAGACCCGCTCCGGTCTTTCCTCCCATACTAGGGGCGGTGGGGGTAGCCTGGTGGTTAAAGCGATCGCTCGTCACGACGAAGACCCGGGTTCGATTCCACACATGGGTACAATGTGTGAAGCCCATTTCTGGTGTCCCCCGCCGTGATATTGCTGGAATGTTGCTAAAAGCAGCGTAAAACCATACTCACTCACTCACTCACTCACTCTTTCCTCCCACATTAAGACCACACGTCGTGATATGACAGAAGTACTGGTCAAACAGCATTAATCACACGTCATGCGCTCGGTTTCAGGGAAAAGATATCAAGTTTCCCATTTTCTAAAAAAATAATTGTCAAGAACTGTGATCATGAGTTGGACCTTAAAAATGGAATTTTGGTTAGTCTTGTCTCAATTACTAACTAACTACTTGAGTTACCTGAAATATTGACAGATTGGGCGTAATTTGTTTTATCGCAATCAGACATGTTTGATGAAGAGTCATCATAATCTCATTTGATAACTCACACAATAAGTAACACGGAACAAAAGCGTGTTATCAGTCATCCACGAGAATAGCATCATGTTGTCAGGTGTTTGTATATGATATCCAGTCATGTATGGCTTTCATCTGGGACCTTGACTCTCGACGAGAGTATGAAGCGCCACTACAGTCGAGTGAGTGAGTGAGTTTAGTTTTACGCCGCACTCAGCAATATTCCAGCTATATGGCGGCGGTCTGTAAATAATCGAGTCTGGACCAGACAATCCAGTGATCAACAGTATGAGCATCGATCTGCGCAATTGGGAACCGATGACAAGCATAGTCGCCTTTGTGGCAAGCATGGGTTGCTGAAGACCTATTCTACCCCGGATGTTCACGGGTCCTTAGCGCTAAGACAGCCGTATCTCCCATAATATGGACTTACCACAGTCGTAGTGCTAACGTGTTTCTTTTGTACTGGACTGTAACTTAATTGTGTTCTTCAACCGAATTTTCAAACAAGGTAGTGCGCAGGGTACAGGTTTTGGAAGAAAGAGGAATCGAGAAAGAATTCAAGTCCACTATTAGCTGATCCTAACACGTTTAAGGGAAGCAACTCACAGGGGATAGTAATAATATTCCTTATTCCACACGGTCATCTTTGGTACCGGAAAGGACCTGGCGAGAAACAATCTTCAGATGAACTCCGCAACCCTGACGAAAAGAAATTAAAAAGTCAGACTCGACAATTACGCTGGATGGCTGCATTTTACATCAATAGAACGCAGGACGTTATTGAAATGTCACAATTGCTGCCTTTTAAGCTTAGTCACGTAGCCCATTGAATGAGCCACTTAATACAGTAAGACCTGCCGTGTTGTGTGAAACGACCAGCTTGTCACCTGCAGCACAGCTTTCCCGTCCGTCACATTAACAAATTGTCTCACTGCCATGACTACGAGGGACGGTGGTATCGCTGCTACACCTGAATTTAATTTATCGATAAAGTAAATTACTCCACCTCACACGATTTCGCAATTAGGTGAAGCCTGAACAAGAACTTTTCTTCGACTGATTATTCCGGCCATTATTGATCACAGTCCCAAACAATATTTCACGGCAAACACCGCATCGATTTGACTTGAGTGCTACGTCACTGTCACATAACCTGGATACGTTAATCATACAGGGTCGAAAGTGGTATTATGCATTCATGTCGAGGGAGGTAACTGGTGTTTGGGTTTAACATTTCTCACCTGCGTGGACCATTTTAACATCAAACTAGTAATATCAGGTAACTCGATGGTAAACACACTTCTTGCCACCATCTTGTCAACTGATACCGTAAATTACACAATATGGAACTCCCGGGAATATAATTTTAAATTTTCACTCGATAAGCATACAGGTATATTTGCTTGTAGACTAACAACTAGTCTCTGAAATGAACATATTGTACTGAAAAAAGTTCATAAAAAAATATATATATAATGAAAAGGAGCCCTGAGACTTTCTTCATTTTCTGAAGCTGAGGAAATCTAGACTTGCCACATTTTCTAGACTTGCGTGGGCTTTCTTGGATATATTTGCTTCAGGGTCTGTACGACAGACTAATTTGCTTGTTAAATCATTTTACAGTGTGGAGTAGATGGAAAATTCGTATAAGTGTTTCTACAATTATGTATACGAATACTACTTGTTAAAGCATTCTGTAATATAGAATCGTTAGAAAAAAATCTAAATAATCAGGATGTAGAGTAATATGTTTTGGTATATTATACTTGGTCCTTTTATACAGCCAGTTGCAAATGCCAACAGTGTTACACAAACGGTTTGGTATTAGTCCTTATTCTTGTATACGCCCGTACAGCATGGTGTGATCCAGCATCAAAGACTGACTGAGTTTGGTTTTACGCCGCTTTTAGCAATATTCCAGCAATATCACGGCGGGGAACACCAGAAATGGGCTTCATACATTGTACCCATGTGGGGATTCGAACCCGGGTCTTCGGCGTGACGAGCCAACGCTTTAACCACTAGGCTACCCCACCGCCCCCCAGCATCAAAGAGTGTGCCAATACCGACAGTATTAGTGTCGCCTTTTCGCGGCTAACACTCTCGACTGAGTACTGGCAATGTTAATGTGGTTATGTTCTGTTGGAGGTACTCAGTAACAATAGGACCCCTATTTAACTAACTGCTCATCCTGAAACCCTGAATGAGGTCAATACGAGATCGCGAGAACGCGAGATTTTGGCCAAGTCTCGCGTTCTCGCGATCTCGCATTCTCGCACTTTTGGCATTTTTAGCTTGTTTCCAAAGGTCGAGATCGCAAGAATGCGAGATCGCGAGAATGTCCCTTACAGTATTCAATTTCGAATTTTATCCCAACCACGTTCACGCCATTGAAACCTCTTGCACCATTAGTAGTGACACCGCCGCCATTCAAGAACTCCGACCCCATGACCAGGATAGTCGGAACACGTTGTGAATGAAATAATCATTTTCTCAATCCATATATATCCATACAACTTGGTTCCACAGTAATATCACGCTAAAATGGAATAGGAACTTTGAAAAAAATATATTAGGAACATATATTTGGTACATTTATCAGGGGCTGATATCCGGGGTAGATATTAGCAGTAGATATCAGGGGCAGATATTAGAGGCAGATGTTAGGGGTAGATGTTAGGGGTAGATATAAGGTCGCAACACGTTGTAAATGGAATCATCATACAACCTGGTTCTCGGATAACATCATCTCCTACTTATTCTGACTAGTAAAAGCTATATGTAGAGCACACGTAAGCACATGTTAATTTTGGGTCTGACTGGGTATCGGGTTTTTAGTCACACATGATAATGTCATTCGCAATGAAAATAAAATGTCACCTCGTTGATAATCAGTATTGATAGCTCACCGGTGTAGCTAATGATGGGTGCCCTGACCGTACAGGGTTGTCAAACATTTGTTTGGCAATTTCATATGAGAATGTCTTGAACAAGTGACAAATAATATATTGTCCCGGACAGAGATCCGCCACCATTGTTCACTTCGGGGTATTCCTGTGGCAAAGTAGACAACATGGTTATAGATAGAAACTTCTGTTTTGTACTGAAATGGTGATGTTTCGGTATAGATCCCTGCAACGTTATCAAGCAAAATATTTTACCATCTTTGTCATCTGTCAACTTTTAAGTAAAAGCCTATGAATTTTTTTTCCATATTCCATTAGTGACAGTTGGTATACAGTTCAAACAAACTAAAACTGACATATCAGAATAATCTTCTCTCTCGAGATACGAGTTTTCCTTTCAAAAGGCCAAGCGTTGAATGAGATCAGAGCTATAGTGTGTAAGAAGACACCGATCGACCCTATAAATGCACCCGCACATGCCCCGGTGCATTAAGAGTTGTATTAAGAGGTTATTGTTCGTAAATACATCGTATTGAAATGCATACATCTCTATAATATGAGAGAGTGTACATGAATATATGAGGTAAATTAAAGCTGAAGTCGTTAGGGGCATAAATTATTTAGGAACCGGATATCTTTGGAGAGCATGTGTTGAAAGGATAATTATGGATTCGTTTAACTGGTGTAGTTGTTTGTGTAAACACTGATGTTAGAGACACTACCCTGGGTTAACGGTATTGTTACATTAGTGACGCCATCGATCTTCAATCACACCGACCTCTTAACCAGGAGATTCCGGTAGCTGAGAGGTGTATTAGTAACAGAGTGGGGACTTCAAGGGTGTATGAATGATAGCTGTACTTTGAGGACTTCATGAGTTTATTGGAACAGTGAATTGGGGGCCTTGATGTGGATTAGTACTGAGAGAGGTTGGGGACTTGATGTGAATTAGTACTGACTGAAGTTGGGGCCTTGGTGTGAATTAGTACTGAGAGAAGTTGGGGACTTGATGTGAATTAGTACTGCGTGAAGTGGGGGGACTTGGTGTGAATAAGTACTGCGTGAAGTGGGGGACTTGATCTGAATTAGTACTGTTTGAAGTGGGGGGCGCGATGTGAATTAGTATTGATTGAATTTGGGGAATGGATGTGAATTAGTACTGAGTGAAGTGGGGGACTTGGTATACTGAGTACTAAGAGAAGTGGTTCACTCGATGTGAATTAGTACTGAGTGAAGTGGGGGCCTTGGTGTACTGGGTACTGAGTGAAGTGGTTCACTCGATATGAATTAGTACTGAGAGAAGTGGGGAACTCGATGCGAATTAGTTCTGGGAGAAGTGGGGAACTTGGTGTGAATTAGTACTGAGAGAAGTGGGGAACTCGATGTGAATTAGTACTGAGTGAAGTGGGGA